CTCCCTTCCTTCTCTACTTCCTTCCTTCCTCCTCTCCGTCCCCTTCTTCCTTCCCTTACCTCTCCCTTACTCCTACCCTCTTTCTTCTCCTTCCTTTTAATTATACCTTTTAATTCTTCGTTTTTAAGGAATTATCCAGGGACGTTTACTACAGGGACGTGAATATCAGTTTCAAACATACTTAATTTTCAACTGATTCGTGGAAACAAAGCCTTTCAACCCAAACTGTACCTTTTGATGTTGTCGGAGTGAGTTCTAGAGGGACGATGACTCTGGTTGAATTTTTCCCGTGCTGAAAGACGAGCTTCTGATATCTACGGAACATGTAGAGGGGGGGGGGGGGGAATTGAAAGAATGAGAAAAAAAACTACTTCAGGCAGTCCTTGACTTACAACGGTTCATTTAGTGACAATCAAAGTTATAGCATCACTGAAAAAAAGTGGCCTGCAACCGTTTTTCACACTTACGTTTGCATAATCAAAATTCAAATGCTTGACAACCGACTCACATTTATGACAGTGGCAGTGTCCCGGGGGGTGGGTCACGTTTATCCCCTTTTGCGACCAAGAAGAGACTGGGCTGCCCTCTGTCAGAAATGGTGCAGGGTCTCCCGCTTGGGCGCTGGTGGGTTGGACTAGATGACCTCCAAGGTCCCTTCCCACTCTGCTAATCTGTAATCTGACTTTCGGATGAGCAAAGTCAACGGGGAAACCAGGTTCACTTAATGACCAAGTTACTAACTGAACATCCACCGTGATTCGCTTAACAACTGTGACGAGAAAAGTTGTAAAACGGGACAAAGCCCACTTAACACCTGTGTCACTTAGCGACATAAATTTTGGGCTCAATTGTGGTTGTAAATCGAGGACCACCTGTAGTATAATTTTCAGGATTTCTGCCAAATGCAAGTTCAATTTTGTTTCCTCTGAATTTCTGGTTCAGAAATATATATATATATATACTTAAAGTCACAACCCCTGGTATGCCCAAGTATGGGAGGAAGGTCACACTTCCACTCTCTGTCATTAGGCTCGTCANGAGATTTGAACCGCCGAACTGCAGAACTGCAGTCAGCTGAAGTAGCCTGCAGTGCTGCACCCTAACCACTGCACCACTTCAGCCAAGAAAAAATATTATTTCATCAATATTCCGGTATTTCTTAAATGAAGGCCAACTCATCAAGTCCCAAGGACTCGGCCAATGGGTGTCAGAAACCAGACTGCCATGAGCATCCACGGTTCCTTACAATCTCAGCCATCGGGGGGGGGGGGGGGGAATAATTCAAGTTATAAAGATATGGCCTTACAAAGCTTTGCTTAGTGACCGTTCAAAGTTACGACGGCACTGAGCAAAATGAGTTAGGACCCCTTTTCACACGACCTTCATGTGAGGCTCCAGCCGAGTTTCAAAAGAAACCCAGTTATTTATTAGGAGCTTCATGTCGGCAAGTTCCCAGGTGAAGCCAGCTCTGACCCCACGTAATTTACGGCCCAGTTATGACCCTGTTTCTCCCTTCCCCCCGGGGGGGGGGGGTGTTCATCAATCGCATTTGCAATGGAGCAGTTTTGTGGGTTGTAGAGATCACTCCCCTCCGAGCCGCTGCAAGTAACCCTGGGATATAGCCTTGAGAGTGATGTGTCTGGGATGTGCTTCTCTCTTTCGCTGCCGTCCCGTTTCATCCCTTTCCCATCCTCCCCTTCCCTATGGCAACTCGAGAGCAGGCCAGGGGACGCTTTGCGAGTTGACAATCTGATCCAAATTCAGATTGCTTGGCAACTGACTCATTTTTATGACGGTCGCAGTGTCCCCGGGGTGTGTGTGTTTTTCACGTGATCCCCTTCAGCGACCTTTCTGATGAACAAAGTCCACGAGGAAGCCAGATTCACTTCAGGGCCGTGTTGTCAATTTAACAACCGCGGGGATTCACTTAACAGCCGTGCCAAGGAGGGTCGTAAAAACGGAGCAACAATTCACTTGGCAACCGTTTCGCTTGGCAACGGAAAAATTGGGATTGTGGGTTGGGAACTAGCTGCCTAGGGATGACACAATGGAGAGACATGGAAAGAAAGAAAGTGTGGGGAAGAGGAAGAAGCCACCGATCCCTTAATAAAACCTCACCGGAAATCAATATCGAGCAGAAGACTCTTCATGGAGACCTTCTCCTTGGAGGAAGCTTCCATCTGGATCAGTTCATGGAGCCTGAAATTGATCAAGGAGAAGGTCAACCTGGAACTAAGGCGAAGCCTCCTAACAGTGAGGACAATTAACCAGTGGAAGGGTTTTCATGCTCCCGCCAGAAAATAGCAATAGCAATAGCAGTTAGACTTATATACCGCTTCATAGGGCTTTCAGCCCTCTCTAA